AAGTTCAAAACTATTACATTATTTATAAACATAATAATTATAATTTATATTCAATATACGATTTTAAAATAATTKATATCTTAAAATTTTTTCCATACATTTTATACTTTATATATTAATTTATTAATTATTTATTTATGAGACRCCTGTCTGTTACATGAGTGTATCTAGCTTTTTATTTATTGTTCAAGTCATACATAATGCYTAAAGCTATAAATGTTATCAACATTTCGGTATTTAAATTAAATTAAATTAACTATAAAATAAAAATGATGGATTGACAAATAATCACATTTTATACATATTATGGTCAAAATGATTGATAAAGCTTCAAAAGATACTAAATATAATATGTTTGTAAAGATTTTTAAGATTTTTAAGATATTTTGGATAGTTAAGGTTGGATGTAATTCAATTAATAATATACAACATTTTAAAATTAAATGCCAAGTATTAAACCCCAAAATAACATACCTATTTTATCAAAATTAATTARTTCTTAATTCCATCTACATAATCAAAATAGATTTTGCTAAACATTGTTTCGGCATAAATTGCTTCATTTATGTCATCAATTTTTTGTTAGTTTTCATAACTAAACAATGTCAAAAAGTGTTATCTTAAGTACTTTTTGTGCTAAATATATAAAAAATATAAGCTAGGTACTCAAACAATGTAGAATTTAAGAAGTACCTACCTACTCATTCAATCCAAAAAAAATAATAACAATCAGAACTAAGATTAATGTAAACAGTAAATTTATAATTGATTTCTAAGATTTCTACTGTGTGCTTTACAAAAGATGGTTTTTGTAGCCATTTCATAAATAATTATAATTCAATTATTTCCYCTGTTATTTTTCTTAGAAAAATATCAATGTCGTTGAATATTTAACTTGTTAAGTAAATTAAACTTGTAGAACTGATGTTTTTAAAACAGTAAAACTAAAAGGTTTTCATTGCATCTATATAATGTATAATGTGCATATATTACCCAAACATTAATTAAGCTTTGACATAATATGTCTTGTATATTATACAGGAATTTGACTAAAGTCTAAACATAATACACAATCATTTTCGTAATTTTTTTTTTAAAACAATATTTACTTTTTTGTTTCAAAATATATTTTTAGATTATTGGAATATAATAAAATACACGTAGTAGAAAATTGGGCGTTCAATGGTTCTGAAATAGCAAAACTGTAAGTAAATTGACTTGTATAATGGTTTTTTTTAAACTTATAAGCTCCTGGTTTTTCATATAATTAATTTCATTGTTTTAATTATTGCCATAATTTATTCATTTTATTACAGGAGTTTGAGGGGAAATTATCTAGACTATTTATCTGAACACAGTTTTGATGGAATTTTAAACTTAAGGACACTGTAAGTTTTTTAATAACATACATTTACCGTGCCAATAAATTAGTAAAATTATATTGTTATAATTATTTTTATTAAAAATAACTTCACAGAATTCAACTCAAATAGCCTAAAATTTTCATGAAAATGTGACTTTGTTTTTCCAATTTAGTAAAATGCCATTTGTGTTAAATGTAAAAAAAATAAATATATTAACTGTTTAAAGCATTTGAATATTTTTACAGCTCTAAATAAATTAAATATAAATCATTTTAAAATTAATGTACTCAGAGTTTCATATGAAACTGTTATTTGTTTTGATAATTTTATAATTAATTAACAACATGAAATTACTTTTATCTGCACATGTAATTTTTGTTGTTCTTTTATCTGCGTTCTTAATTTCTAGTTAACAGACATTTTTATAATCAGTAAGATGCGTATTTTTAGAACTGATTATTATTTATACATTATATTATATACATTTTTATTTCATAGTTATTTAATTATAATATATTGAAATTATTATATATGATMATTTGTGTTTAGAATATCTATATTATAAATTATTGTATTCTAGAGACTTGTCACATTCTTCAATGAAAGTATTACCGACATCGGGATTGAAGAGCTTAGAAATACTTCGAATCGAAAATGCTCCTTCAATGACTGTGATGCCTTCAGTTTATTTATTTTCTGTAAGAAATCGCCTTCAACGTTATTTTATATTTTTAAATTTATAATCATAAGCGTGCGTAAGTCCGATTGTCAGGAGAGGCAAAACTGTAGTTTTAAGATTCTGGGATCTAGACAGACCTATTTTTTTTCAGTTTCAGTTTTAGGCCAATAAAATGATCTTTGGAATATTTAATTCACGCACAAAATCATAGATATAGTTGTAATAAACTATATTTTATATTATACTGATCAATACAATTTGGATAAATAAAACATTTTTCAATGTGTATTTATTTAAAAATAACAAAACATAATAACAACAATATTCTGACGTTTAAATATTCTATTTTCAGACTTGAGGTTGTGGTATGCGTGTTCTATTTTGTATGCGCAGTGGGTAATTATATAACTAATAACCTCAGCTCAAGCTGTCTAAGACAAAATATATAAAAATGTAATATTAAGATATTATTATTTATGTATTCTGTTAGCATAATGCATATTGATAGTATTTTTAACAAAATATTAAATACTTTGACGGATGATCKTGGTGGGAGGGGGGAAGGTCTCATAAGGGAAAAAGCTACTTCCCATGCATCCCACGTGCGCACGCTTAAAGTTTCATTTATTATTGTTACATAATATGATAATAAATGCATATTTTTTTTGGTTCCAGAATTTAAAAGAAGCTTATCTCACGTACTCATTCCACTGTTGTAGCTTTCAGTTTCCAGCTAAACACGATTATTCGAAATATGAATTTCATAAAGTAGGTGTTTAATTAATTGTTCTTCYTGAACAACTATTTTGATCAAATCAAACGTTTTCAAAATAGTTATTCACAAAAATGTTGGTGGCAATATATTTAACGATAATATTTTCGTTTTATCACTGCCAAATCATTTATATTTATTTATAATTATTTTAACACAAAATTGTTTTCATGTAGGTACCCGAAACATCACTTTAAAAAAAATTAATTTATACATTATAATAAAAATTTTCAATAACAGCTGATAAGTTCTCTAGTTATTCTCAGAAAAATGTTTAATGTTTATGAATTTAGAATTATAAATTAATATTTATTAGTAGATAAGTAGGTATATAATATTATAATATATGGTTTAATTATGATACCAAATTATGTTTTCATGGTCATATTATTAAAATTAYCTAAGTACCAATTTAAGCGAAACAACATTTGAAGTTTGAAGTTTTCTTCTTTRCGTTGTTAAGCTTCTTGATATCAACTAATGATCATATTATACTTTGTAGACATTTGTAAATAAAAKATACAATTTAAAAATACATTACAGACAAAAAAATCATATTTATTTTTAATCATAATGTAAATATTTAATTCGTAAGTTTATGTTTGAAGCAGCTGGTAAGTTGGTATAGTTCGTGTAGTCGAAATAGTTAATTTAGTCATCTGTTTATTTTTTTCATTAAAATATACGGTTTGGTGTTTCGTAACTGATATATTATTGGTCGAAGATAAACTTATTTATTTATTTTATTTTATTCATTATTGTTTTTTCTTGCAGTAAAATGTTAATTWAATGTTGTTTCTTTAATTTGTATGATATTATAGGAAGGCTTACAAACTCCGAGCGAGTGTGTTCAATCGAAAGAAAACAACAATTATGTAAATTTGGTGACCGATGATTTTTTGGAAAATGGTTATATTGATTACGCSAACGGTAGTGAAGAAGAATTTTTTAATGAGCCGACCATGACAAATAGTACCCAGGACATTATATGTGGCAACATCACTCCGCCGACCATGTAAGTATAGCGCAGTACGGACTAGGTCCGTATAGCAGCCTTTATTTTTTCTATCTGAATATTGCTAGTACATGACAGCTTAACTCAAATGTATTTGACCATTTATCGAGTTTTGACGACAATATTAATATCACATTTACGTTCTAAACGTTAATTAATGTTTTACCAGGATCTTAAAACACATGATTATTTATATAATTATTGTTATATCAAAAAAAAATTAATGCCTTCTTTGTGTTATAACTTATAACACAACATATTATTCAAGCTAAAATAATCATTAAATTATTGTAATAATTACGCGAATATTCAATAAAAGTTATAAGTTTATGACCAGTGCAATTATTTACGTAATAGTTCTTTGATAAGAAATAAAGCCCGAAAAAAGAGGTTTATTATTTTATAGGCCACATGGGATTGGTGTTTTAATGAAATCGAGATAAAAGTGTCGACAGTAGATACCTAAGCTATTGCGTGTCTTGAGATGTTTGGATGTTGTAGCYGATTACAATAACGGTACCTATTGTTTTTATTGCCATGACGTTATGTAATTTGCATTTTAAAATTGAATTTATATACAATTCAATTATGGTTAGGTTAGGTTAGGTTAGGTTAAGAAATAAACCGAAAAATCACTTTGTACATAATTAAATTTAAACCGTATTTTAAACAGTGATATTTACGTAGAGTACTTATAAGATACTTTAATGTATATTATCAAATATATTTTCTTAAACAAGTTTGGATCCGGATTTCGTATCAAATATATTGTAGATATAATAAAAATAAAAATTTATAAAATACTCAAATCCTTCATKTATGCGTCGAGTTTGAATTTGAATTAAAATTTTAACGATAAATCACTCATGAATTACATATTATGCACAATAATGAAATTAAAATAATACGTGTTGTTCACTATGTGGACCAAATAATTGAAGGACATAACCAATGTATTAAATTGAAAAGAAATACAACTTTGCTCATCGACCTCAACACTGGCTGGAATTACGTTTTGTTCTAGGAGATCTGATGTTAAATGTTGGCCACAACCGGACGCCTTGAATCCATGCGAAGATATAATGGGTTTCTATTGGCTTAGAGTGAGCGTTTGGCTTGTAGGAAGTGCAGCTYTACTAGCAAACGTAGTCGTGTTGACGGTGGTTTTCCGTAAAAATTTTAATCACTCCGTACCTAGATTCCTGATGAGCAATTTGGCTTTCGCCGACTTTTGTACGGCCATCTATTTGTTGCTATTGGCTTACGAGGATCTGGTGTCTAGTGAAAAATATTTCAACTACGCATACACATGGCAAAACGGTAATTATAAAATACTTAATTCCTCTATTGCTATTTACAGATAGGTATAATATAAAATACAACGTTACACCGTTACACGATAATGACGATTTGAATTTATCAGCTTAGGCCCGTGCATGGGGTAAGCAGATATAGCAAAATATGCTGCTCCTAAACTTTTTTGGGCAGCTGTGGTCTCCAAATAATACATAATAATAGGAYGCACTAAATTTTGCTTCTATATAATTTTATTTACCCAAGTTGTATTATATTAATTACAATTAAGGTACTTATATTATGATTTATAGTTAAAAACTATTTTTATATATTTTTCAGAAAATATATAGAAACGTTTCTATAGCTCCCTCATCAACATTTTAGATTTGTATGCCCTCCCAACAAATAAACACAGCAGCCTCTTTCCCACCAAATGAAAAAAAAAATTAATTTCGCAATTTTTTTTTCAATAAATATTGTAAATTCGTGGGACCTATAGCTTTTTCGATAACGTACACCAAAAGTCCTATTTTTAAAATATATTATTGGAAAATGGGCTGGATTTATCTCATGTTGTCCTTGAAGCCATAGTCCGCGCACGTCTATGCTTATCACTTATCAGTACCTGTTGTGACTATAATGGCCACAATATAATTTATATTACCTATAATTAGTAGAAGTGGTGTACAGCCTTAATTTTTTATTAACGTCATACTATATTTATGCAGTATTATCTTAACAGTAGGGTAAGCAGGTGTGACTATATTCTCCATTCAAATTACGAAAAATAATATCTTCATATATATATATATCGATTCTTTTTATTTCATATAAAATTATTTTAAGTTGGACCAAATTATTTGTATTTTCAATTATAATATACCTTACAGGTTTCTAGCCCGTTTTATGTTAAATACTAGAGTTATTATGTAACATATTTAAACGACTATAGACAATAATAAACAATTTTTGATGAATTACTTTATAAAATATGTTTATGTTTTACATTTAATTATTAATAATTCATCTGCTTGATATTGCTGATTGACTAGAAATTATGATACGTTATAGGCAGGCTCCCCACATCATATTTTTGGCCCGGGTGCGAAACTAAATTTGGGTCCCGGACATTTTTCTAATATATATTGAAGTCCATCGAAAGTCTGGGATCCAATACCATAAGTCATTCTGACCCCCTCTCCCTTCCATAGTGAAGGTAACACGGTCTCAGCGGTGTATACGGTAGTTATAGGTGCCGTGTCAGAGGTCCTAGTTGTAGGATTCAATGAGAATAATATTATTGAAGAATAAAGTGATATTAATGTTATTGAATATTATTAATAATTGTATTTTTAATAATATTATGATGTTTTACAATTTTTACCAGCTTCTATAGCTACATTTAAGTTTGTTACATGCATTCTAAATAGTAAAATAGTATAATATCAATATGTATCTAGTCATTATTTTTAAAGTCACTATGTGTTTGTACTGTAATCTGTACGGGTATAACCTACCTAGGTGTTTATTTTTCTTATTGAAAATCACATGCAACATTACTCTAAGCTAAGATGTAGATGCTATAATTATTATAATTTATAATAGTGTAATACTTAATTCGACCCACTTAAAAAAGTTATAATATTACCAACCCATTTCAATAAAGATGCTTTTGGGTCAACTGCAATAAAATAAATCATTATAGACATGTATTGACGTTGATAACAACCGTAGGGATATGACTAAAATATATATGGACGATCTTTAATGTTATTGCGTACCTATTATAATAATTATAATAATTTGGCTCGTCACATATCTTATATGAATATAATAATATGTACTCGTATATTATAAATATCTGCTAAAATTTGAATATTTTTGAGTTATTTCAAGCACTATTATGTGCAATAAATAATTATAATTGGATTAAGAAAATTTTTATATTAGCTTGTTAATAAAAAAAAATATATATGGTAGGTAACAATAATGATTACATAATATATTTAATGACGATAAAACTATTATATGCTGTATACTCGTATTGTATATAGTTAGTGTGATGTACAAATAATAATATCATTATGATTGTGTATTTTACGGATGGTTAATTTAAAAAAAAAAACGTCATAATGTTTTTCCATAGGCGTCGGATGCAAAATTGGAGGTTTTTTGACAGTTTTCTCGTCTCAACTATCAGTTTTCGCATTATGCTTGTTAACAATTGAACGGTGGTATTCAATACGCAAGGCACTATACACAAACAAAATGACGTTCGCTTCAACCGTAAGAATAATGGCCATTGGTTGGGTGTATTCAATTGTGATGGCTACCATGCCGTTACTGGGCATATCGAGTTATTCTACTACCAGGTAAACACAAGGCGCTCCATCGAAATAGTATTAATTATAAATAAATAAATAAGTAGATATAGTAAGTATAGTTGAGTAAATTCGTTGACGATTTCGAAAAAAATACAATATCTATGAATTTTAGAATGTGTGCCTACTTATATTATAATACAAGGTGATTCAGCGATGATAGTCACTTCTTACTCTTCAATAATTCAGTTATTTAAAATCGAATTTTTGGAATTTTCAAATACACTTAAAGTCTTTAATATTTTCAATCTTGTGATTTTTTCGTAAAATATAAGGAGTGTCCTGTGGATATGCAAAATTCCATTTTTTTAAATGAAAACCTTCGGCCTTTCCATTGTAAATTATTCAGTGGACAATTTTTCTGAACAATTTTGAAGGATTTATAATATTAAATTTATACCAGTAGTTTTTGAGTGTTATAAGATTAAAAGGTCAATGATAATGGATTTTTAAGATATAGAAGCTGTAGTAGTAACCTTACCTAGTAATTAATATTATTAATTAATCAAAATYAATAATTTAAAAATTGTTCTAAGTTTAATAAATACAAGTACTAGTAACAGTTTCAATAATCAAATATTAAATTTATTTTATATTGTTGTAAAATCATTTTTAAATGCTATTATCCTTAGTACAGATATTTTAACAGTTGATAAACTCATTTGAAATTTGAATTTGGTTCATCAACATTTATAAAAAAAAAATGATCCTTTAAGTAATTTACAATATAATTGAAATACAAACGCTTGGCCGTCATAGAGCACTCAATGTGTTATACTAAAAATTGAAGAATTTGAAAAAATTGTCTTTGAGGATCTATATTTMAATATTCAAAAGATATGAATTTGAATAAATAAATGGAATGAGCATGCTTCGATTAACAAAACCTWATAGTCGATTGTGTTAAAGTTACATGACATCGTTTTAAAAATCATAAAATCATTTCCCATTTTGTGGTTTTCTACTCTTTAAACATATATATTATGAGTAAATGCAAACAGTTTTAGTAATGCTATCCTTTTAAACATGGTAATGATATAATATTACAATAAATTCGTGAAAGTAATATGGTACAAATACTTATACCTACCATATATAACTAACAAATAAACCCAAAATATCTGTATTGAAACCGTTCATATTTAAAATCAGTTTTTTTCAATTTTTATTATAAATATTATGTTATAATTTATTCAAAATTAATTTTAGTCGGTAATTTTCAAATCGTGATTTGCCCGGTTTGATGGCAAAAGCAATTAATGCGATCAAATAGCTTTTAACTTAGTATAATCTTAAAAGTTCGTTAAATTTTTGTTAGACCTTATGGCATATAATATATAAAATCGTATGCGTGGAGTATTGATGTAGAAGTGTCAAACATGTAGTAGGTATTTTCTTAATTACTCATAGGTATCAATTCTATCTACAAGAATGGCCCCAGAAATATAAACCAGTGGCAGTGGAAAAAGACGAAAATCTCTGATAACATAGCACATAATGTTGTTTAGTTTTTACAAGTGATAAAAAAATTAATTATAACTAGAGCGCGGATTTTTATGCACTTATAAGTATCGAAATATRCCATATAATATGCAGTAAAAATCATGAAAATATTTAAAAAATATGCAAGCATTTTTATTTATTTAAAATTTATAGTAACACTTATAATAATTAATTATTTAAATACTTAATAAAAAAAAATTTAGGGAATCTTATGAAAACCTTAATTTATTTTTAAAATTGTATTTATTATATGCATTTCAAGTTTTTCTTCTGTGAAGCTGTGTCGTTTATCGRCTAATATATTTTTAAAGACTGAGAACGAACGTTCGACGTCAACCGAAGTTATTGGGGTATATTTGAAGCACCTTAGTATTGTCGGGTCTTGATAAAGATCTTCGAGCTGAAAGTTTTCACCTAATAACACTGAATTAATTTTTCGTAGAATCTTCAGACCTTAATTTGTGTTGGAAAGTTCGTTTAATTTTGTAGTAAGTGTTGCCCCTTTCGATCCAGAAATAGAATGCATTTTTAATCGTAATCGATTATTTATCTTATAAWGGTTTAAATAAATATATATATTATATATAAATTAATATTTAGTGACTATGAAATTTAGTTTTAATTTTTTTACTTGACAAAATATTATTTTATAAATTTTTATGAATTAAAAATAAAAAACAAAAGTGTGATCGGAAAAATGAAGGATACATTTTGTTTTTGACTTTGTTGCTATTGAATAAAAAGTAAATGCACGTAGATGCATATAGCTAATGTTAAGTTCAAATGATTAAGTAAAATTCAAATTTTAGTTTTTTGTTGACCCTATGAATGTTCATAAATCAAAAWATATCAAATGTTGTAAAAGTGATCATTTTTGAATACAAAATTTCTTGAGAGTAGGTAATGTAAAAATGCTTTCGTGATAATAATGAAAAACTATGAAGGAAAAATGCTCGTTAATGTTACTCATCAACATTAAACTTAAGAGAGTTGGCAAATGTTAACAAATAGTTAACAAATAAAAATTATTTATTAAATCTGTATGTAATAAAACTTAGAGTTATTAAAATAAAAACTATTGTGTTTGAAATTTTATTAAATTTTTAAATTTAATATTTAATAATTTAAATTAAATTTATTAAATTAAAAAAATTAATGGTTATAACAATTATTTATTTATTTAAATTTAATATTTAATTAATTTAATTTAATAATTTAAATTAAATTTTTTTACTAAACATCTGTGAGATCATTCAAAATGTTTATTCATTGTAAAATACTTTAAATCAAACTTAATTTATTGGCATAGGTAAACTAAAAAAAGTCATGTAAAGAATTCTTGACACCAAATCGATATTAGTACTTGTATAATATTATAATATATTCTAATAAATATTTTGATGTAAAATTGAAAATCACAAATTGAACCGTGCATTCGATATAAAAAAAGAGGAACGTTAACTTAATGTTCGAGRTGTGTTTATATGCCCCCTTCGTCCATAACCATGTCCACTTTGCATACCAGCATACCTGTTGGTATTCTCACAATAAGTGCCTCAACTAATATACTAGTATCTGGGAGGAAAAGGGCAATATTAATTTTTAAATTTCGGTGATATGTAAATAAATAGTAGTGTATACAGTATTGCTATAACAAATTACAATATCAATAATAGATTTGTAAAATTATATATGTTTATTGTATTTATATATAATGATTAATAGGTATTGTACAGAATATAATACTATGTAGAAGATCTGACAAATTGATCATAAAAATATTTATTTAGGTCACTTAAGTAGTTTATTTTTAAATTTATTTGAAAGCTCATTGTTTTTCTGAAGTAATGTTTGTCCAGTAGTAAAAAACATTTCATATTCAAAAAGTATAAATTTTTAAAATATTTTAAGATAATTTTTGTAGAAGTACTTTTTTAAATCTAAATACATTTTTTTTTAGTAATGACTTGCCATGTTAGTGAGTTATTTAAAAAAATTGAACATTTAAAAAAATAAGCTAATTGACTTCAAATACATGTTTTTATAATATAATTATTATTAAAAACCAGATTTTAAAATCGTCTATTTTAAAGTTAAAATCAAATTTAAATAGAAAAATAAAATTTTATTTTAACACGTTTATCGCAGAGTCAACAAATTATATACGATATATTATATTATATAACATAATATATATATTTATGAACAATTAAAAGATATTGATTAGAACCAAAGTTGTTTCATTTTTCATTAGATCTTCTTGTTACACCCTGTATATGCTGTGTGCCTATATATGAGTTGATCAGAGCTGTTCAGTATCGACCATAGCATCATATCAGTACTATATGGGTACACACTTTAAGCTCAAATCTATCGATGATCACATGCGTAACAATAACAATAACAAAGTCAACAACAATAATAGTATTTCGTGTGATGTTTAACAATAATGTTTATGTACAGCTAGGTTGTAGAACGAACGATGAACTAATAATAATACCACGTCGAGTACCTGTGTACCTGCATAATATATATATATATATATATACAGCTAGGTATGAGCATGAGAATTTAATAGCACATATCGCTTAAATAATATAAAGGTAATTATATTTACGGATACTCCGTGAATGGGTGTTGGTGGAATTGGATGAAAGTGACTTTTTCCGGTTAGTTGAAGTGGTTGTCAGGACTGTTACAAGGGGTCGGGATTGAAAATGGTCCGTTTTTTCAGCGGAAAACCGYGACTGCATAGCGTCGGCGGTCAGACGTCTGCGATCTCAAATCGAGAGCGTCTGTGGTGCTTGTGTACATATATCGTGTATTTATGTATGTACACACGATAATATATCGGAAAATTGTTGTCGATGTTTGAATTGTTGTCTGTTGATGTTTTTGTTGTTTGTTCACATCGCAATGAATACTAGAGGAGGGAACCCATCGACTCTTCTAATATAACGTCGATCCTAGTATTCTTGAATTCCTTCATGAATAGTGAAAATAGTTTTTAAATATTTAGGCAAAAAAATAGTCCCACCCGATTACGCCCGCGTTATCTAAAATTAAATTGGGGCCAAAGGGTGGTAAGGTGGCTCTAGCCCTCTCCGAAATTTCAGGAAAAYTTAATAGTGCGCTCTATTATGGTTTGTGAATGTATTACGCGTAAGACGTAACYATATATAATATTAAAACTATAATTGGTATAGATGTTAYTATCATTTTTAAAAACTTTTATGAATCATCAGAATTATACATAAGAATCAGKGATGAAAATCAGAATAATTTAGATACGGGATAGGTGTGTTGGACATGCACCTGCTTACAATTTTTTTGAAGTGAACTTTTTTTCGTTTCGATATGCATACTCGTTAACACAGGGTGATTAATTTATGGTACGATTACACTATCTAAAAAATGTTTAAATAAATGTAACAATAATTTTTTGCATGGTTTGAATTACARCATACATTTTTAATTTAATTTTTGGAAGCTGAATATTTTTTCCAGTACTTTGATGTATAAAAATCGAATTTAAGATCAGTATTCTATGAGTTACCTATAACTTATTAGTAGGTATTTAACCATAAACGAGGGGTGTAGTCGACCAACATTTTGCAARGTAACCGCGTAACTCTCCACTAAACTTAAAATAATTTTATAATTCATAAGCTATGCATCCTAAATTCAATTTTTAGAATTAACTATATGTTATTATTCAAGAAGAAAAAACTTTAAAAAAATTTTAAGTACCTACCTATAAAAATTATTGAAAAACATAAATATTTTTTCAAATGTCAATTTTTTTACGATTAGTGACCATGTAAAAATATTTTTACAAAAACATTTATAGTTTTTTYAATAATGACAGTTTAGCTAAAAATAAATCACCTGCTATAATATTTAAAATAGATATACCACACCTAAATACCATTACAATACAATTATTGCATAGTTAAGACTGTTGAACTTGAAAGCGAACCATTTTTAAGGGATCGGATTTAGGCAATATTCTGTATTCATCATGACTCGTGAGTGATGTGTGTTTATTAGTGATTGATTATTAGTGAGTGAGAGTTTCCCGAACGCTTTATTTAATTATATATAAACTATTGCTAAGATTTTTGGAAATCCATAAAGTACATACTTGCAGTCACACGTCATTATATTTTGTGGTCAAAAAAGTTTCAATACGAGAGCAAAGAGTGGAAGAAAAATTCACATAGTGGCAAAAGCCCAATTATAGTTTTAAAAACATATTTTAGTTCCTTATTCTTTTTCTAGATTATTTAGAAAATGGATTTCCGATTTGTTTTATCAGCACACTTAGTACCAAATTATTATTTTTTTTTTTCACTTTTACTTAAGAATTTGTTAAAAAAAAATTAATGCCTACATAACACAGACAACGACAACCAACAAATTTAAATATTTTCTTTAAAATTAAAGTTGGACTTGTGGAAGTCCTCCTGCTTATTGGTCTAAATGTACGAAAAATGAGCCTATTTCAACAGCACTAAGGCCAATTCACAGCTACATCGCGTGTCGTGTCACCTAACTATGGTTACATAACTTTTAACCATCTCGATTTGAAAATTGAGCTGTAGTCAACTTTTGCAGGTATACTCGTTGTGGTAACTCGGTTACTTAACACGATAATAGGTATACCAAGAAGATAACGTCCAATCGCAATGATTTTTGACAMGACACGACACACGACGTAGCTGCAGTGAATCCGACTTCAGTTGTTGTTGTTATCATTGTTATTAATTACCTGTTGTGATATTATTATCGTGAATGTCATCAGCATCTGCCTGCCAATGGACACCGCGCGCGCGAGCGGCATGTGCTACGTGTTCACCCTGTTGGCTTTCGGCGCGGCCGCGTTCGTGTTGATGCTGTTCTGTTACGTGCAGATCTACATGTCATTGAGCTACGAGACCAGACACGCGGCAAAGGGCGAGGCGTCCGTGGCCCGCAAGATATCCGTGCTGATCGGCACCAATTTCGCGTGCACCGCGCCCGTCATCTTCTTCGGCTTCACCGCGCTGCTCGGCTACCCGCTCATCGACGTCACCAAGTCGAAAATACTGCTHGTGTTCTTCTATCCCATCAACTCGTGTGCCAACCCGTTCCTCTACACCATACTCACAGCCAGTTTCAGACGCGAAGCCTTCTCGACCGTCGCCAAGTGAGCATACGCAATGTTGTGTTTAATATCACAACATTAATATTATACTTTAACTATAAAATTATACGTAGATAGTGATTATTAAAATATATTGTATATTAATCATTATTATGGTCATCATGGGAGGGGGAGGGGTAGTATGTTTTGGAAAAATTRTTTCCCCCAAAACTTGCCAAAAGTTTCTAGTGCAGTGTTTCGAATACATTGTGACGGTGTTTCCAAGTATTTGATTTTAATAGTATTAAAATGAATTTGTTTATTTTAAAACATCTTTATTGCTATGTGGTAAATCATAAATTATATTAAATACATAATTATATTTTAGCATAGGCCATTATTTCAAATTTTTCAAACAACAAAATTATTTTTTTATTTCTAAAACGAATATTGTTTTAATAGTATTTGGAACACCTTTATAATATATTTTTGAGCACGTACTACTTTGGAATATTATTTTTTTATAAGTACTCAAGTATTTCTTCAGAATATTTATTAAAAGTATTTTACTCAAATCTATTYGTTAGCCGTAGAAATTAAATATAATCGCTTAGATGTTTCACAAAAAATAAATAAAAACAACAAATTCTTATAAAATAAAAGATTATCGTAWGGTATTTTTTTTTTTTAGTCCAATAGCTTGTCGAATTATCAATTTTAATTCATAATTCTGTTTAACTACATCCCTCAAAAGTATATTTATTTTTACCGGYAATGCATTAACGTAAGACACTCATTTATTTCAACTTTAAAGGATTTTTAATTTTTTTGAAAAGGATTTGTCTACATAGTTTCTAAGTCATTATTTAGTAAAAAAATTAACTAAAAATTATATTTTATTATTTTCTATCGTTATAAATATTTAATGACATCATTTATTTTTAATCTCTTATCTGAAAGCAAAATATTTTCTCGAGTTCTTGTATACACAAAAATCGAATTTTTGGCGAATATTTTATAATTTATAAGTATTGACGTGCAAGATAGAATTGTTTACAAGACATCCTCGCAAAAAGTTGACCGACTTCTCCACGCTCATCAAAACTTTGAATAATATTGTTCATTATACCAAATAAACTACTTGTCCGAAATTTGATTTTTATAAATTGAAATGCTCCAAATAATATTCTGCTTATGAATACCTAATATGAAAATAAAAATGTATGTTGTCGTCAATAACAGTAAAACCCACTTGGGCAAATAAAAATGCTTATACGATACTGCGGGAGACAAGATTTGCAGTGCTGTTGCGTTTTATTACTTTTATATATTATAAATACAATCAAGTTATTTAAGGTTAAAAAACATAATAATTATTGTTCTAAATTCGTATTTTTATACGCTTATATATAAATAAAAAAATAGACAAAAACACATTATACGTGTACCTACCGATATRCCTATATTAATTGTCACTCATTCCGTCATCCTCGAATAAATATTTTTACCGAGATTTTCTCCCTCATCCAGTCATCCCTCAAAATTTTTTTCCTCTTGCACTCAGTTATTCATGTATAATTTGTCACATTTATTGAACTTTTAATATTAGGTAWCAATTTTGTAGGTACTTACTTAAAACGCTTATCATACCTATATACTACGATTTATACTAATTTATTGGAAAAATATACGAGTGTACCAAAAATGGTACACGTAAATTAACGTTGTGGTTGACCTGTTTTATTTTAATATTAATGAATTCTATGTGATAGAATATCTTGGAAAACATTATTTCACTTCTAAAATACTGTGCAATATTGTACAACCATCATCAAATACGGTCCTTCTTGCTCGGTGCTCGTTTGGGGATTTATAAATATGAGACCAAACAAACCGAATTATATATAAATTGACATTAACAATGAATTGTTTACTTATACATATTATAAAAAAGTAGGTATAAAGTCGAAAATCCGTTATTATTTTGCTCCGTTATTTGCCGTCTTCGAAAACGGACAAAGTGGACAAATCCCATTTTTTTTATTAACTAACAACAGCGTGGCGACCGTCTAATTGTGTGCTTCTGTGGTACATTTTGTGCAAATGTACTTAGTATGTTTGCGTTGGAAATAACTTTTTTCCCCCTTAAAAATAAAACGTGACGTTGGTACGTATATAGAATATATTATTGTACGTCATAAAATAATATTATACAATAGGAATGAATTTTTCGAATATCAGTAGTCGGTATATATTTGATTTTGTCGTATTCGCGAATCCGTCCGCTTTATCGCAAAAAATTCGTCAAACCGGCTGCAGACCATAGTTGACAAACACGCCATATACAAAGTGATTTTTAAATCATGCACACCACAGGAAACAGTGTTCTCCTAGATAATAGGTATATTTGTTTGAATTTTGATTTTTAGAATTTTAAAATATGGGTAGCTACTCAAAGACCATATTTTCAAATTTTTGATACTTCTTAAGGAGTGCCCTGTGATACACAACTTGAGTTTTTCAAATGAAGACCTCCTCCCCCTTTTTTATTGCAAATTATTTATTTTATGATTTCCGTCAAAAAGTTGATGTATCTAAATCAAAATTCTAATAAGTTATTTCTGTATTCTGTAAACCTATTAAAATGTAAGGAAAAGGATAATAATCCTTTAAAATAGTTTTATATCAATATACATTTTAGCAGTAATATTAGATTTAGTGTATATTGAAATTGGAATATTTATATTGATATATCCGTTGTAACTACCAAGTAAATTGTCTAAGCCTTGACATAAAAACACAACACAAATTTGTGTTGAATTTTTAATTGATCAAAATTGTCAAAAAACAAAAATATCTGCTGAATTATTTAGAGTGTAAAAGAGGGGGGTCCCATTTGAAAATCAGAAGTTTGTGTTATCACAGAATCATACTTATGTGGTAAAAAATGTCAAGGATTCGAAAACAATACATGGTTTTTAAAAGTACCTATATTAAAATACAAAAAAATCTGTATTAGAGTATATGCGTAATTTGAGTAAAAAATTTGCTTAAAAAATTATCCTATATAGGTGAAGGCATTCACATTTAAATATGTATTTTATAAATAAAATAATATATTCATGAATATATTGTATAATATATTATATTACTTATGTGTATATTATATTCGTGTAACTTTTGCCCTCCACAACCAACTGCAGCCCCGTCAATCCCACAAAGAGAAAATAAAAATAAATTTGTATTAGATCGATATTATATAATAATATTATATGTACACACCTCGAAATGTGTAATAATAATAATAATGTCTCGTCACGAACACACACCTATCATTTCCAAACGTGCAGGTTAATCATATTTTACCGGTGGTTAGTAGGTACGTAGATATAAGTAGTCAAATTTGTTAAAAGTAAATAAACTAAAAAGACGAAGTTACAATAATTTTGTCGTTGAAAAAAAAAACCAAATCTGTTCGTGAATAATATTATATTCAAATTGACTTTTCGCTTTTCAATGTATGACTGGAACGAGTACCTAACTATATTATTTCATAACAGTATAATCGCCAAAAATAACCTGGTGATAGAAACATTTAAAGAAATATTGAACCACCGTCGTCCGTGACTACCGCTGCCTGCAGTAGTAGCTGCGTGACCTTGAAATGAAAAAAGCGGGTAAGTGGGTATCGCTCTGCTGTACATTGGGGGTGGGGTGGACCTCTGACTAGGGTAGGTTAAATTTGAATGCAATGATAGGTATCATTGTATACGAAAAACGATTCTGAACGGAGACGGTTTATCTGTCTAGGATATATTATAAATTATTAAAAATTTTCAAATATTAGATTTAAAAAGAAAATTTTTTATGAATATCTAGCTTAAAATAATTTTGCGAATTTTCGTAATTTTTACGTATTTAGTCAAAATTTGAATTTTAAATGCTTATAAAAAAAATCGTGCCTATGTATTTTTAATATTTTTCAACTACTATTGTTAAAATGTGTTAGGAGCCTTGGATTTAATTTTCAAATCTTAAACCTAAAAAGAAAAACTTTTATGAATTTCTATCTTTTTTTTTTTATAAAGTTTTATTTTAAGACATTCCTAGCCAACAGAAGGCTATCTAAATCTAGAGATAATATTTACAAATTTAGTTTTTGACTTTTATAACATGATAACGATAAGAAAAAAAAACACAGATAGTATGATTAGCTAACAGTTAATTATTTACTTAGTTTCTTGAGCGTTAGTTTATGCTCGTGGTCGTGTGGACGTCCACGTCGGAGGCAGCTTTGGATCGGTGGTCCTATGTTGAGTTGATAATGCATTGATCCCGTAGACTTTTGAATAGACCTGAAGAAACTGTCAGCCAGAATTTGAATGTGGTATTGAAGTTTTGGTATCTTGAGGTCTTTGTGAATACTTTGATTCCTTACAAACCATGGTGCGTTAGTTATTATTCTTAAAATCTTATTTTGGAATATTTGGAGTTTTTTTTAAGTGAGCAAGAGCGCATTTGCCCCAGATAAGACAAGTGTAGGTAATCAAAGGGCGCAGTATTTGCTTATAAATAAGTAATGAACATTTTTTCTCTAAGGTTGATTTCCTGTTTAAAATAGGGAACAGCATAGAAAGGCGTTGGTAAGCTTGTTGGATTTTCGATGATAAGTGCGGCCACCAGGTCAGTCTTTTGTCCAACGTTAGGCCAAGATACTTTACGTTCGGTTTCCAAGGGATTGGTACGTTGTCGAAGTTGAGCGAGGATGGAGTACGGTTACGACGTAGACTGAACATAATGCTTGCACTTTTTGAGGGATTTATCGATATTTTCCAGTTTTTGCACCAAAAGGATAAGATATTTAAGTGGTTTTGAAGGTTATCTGTTATGGCTTCAATATTGCGGGATTCAGAGAATATCGCTGTGTCGTCGGCAAAAAGAGCAATGTTAGTGCGTGGCGTTTGAGGTATGTCCRATGTATAAACATTAAATAGTGTAGGGCCAAGTATTGAGCCTTGAGGTACGCCGGCCATTATGGGTACATAATCAGAATAGCTATCATTTATT